GAGGACGGCTAACAGAGTCCAGGGAGGTGACGATGGAGGCAGGAGCCAGGGAGACGACAGGAGGGAACCAGAGCAGGAGGAGGAGCCAGGTGGGACCCTAGCGGCCCACGGTGGAGCCGAAGGAGGGAGGAGCCATGGAGGAGGAATATCCCCAGTCCAGCCCAGGAAGAGCTCCTGATGTTTCGTTTAGCCCAGAAAGGGCGGCGGAGCAGGTGGAGGAGGAGCCCGAGGCGGAGACGGAGAGCCAACGAGCCAGGGGGATGCCGAGGATCCGGGGGGCCAGGGTGGAGCCGAGGGCTCTGGCGACCAAGGCGGAGGTCCAGAGATCCGCAGCGGAGCCGGAGCGACTGAGGACCAAGGTGGAGCTGACGGGAGGAAGGAGCCCAACGGAGCCAGTAGGACAGAGCGACGAGGCGCAGCCAGAGGAGAGGAGTCCAGAGGCGATGCCCGACCAAAGCGGAGCCGGAGGGATGAGGGAGCACGGTGGAGCTGGGTCTACGGACTGAGGCAGAGTCCGGGCCTCGGAGGCGGAGGGAGACACCGACCATGGTGACGCTGGAGGAGGCCGGAGCGGGTGGGAGGGCGTGCATTTGAGGAGCGGGCACTGGAGAGAGCTCTCCGCGCTCACACCATCCACGGCTTGCTCCCTCGTGGTGGGCACTGTCACCGGCTCTCGCACCTGGTCGGACGGGTTGGGTTCCATATCCGAGGCGATCCTCTTCTTAGCCGTGTGGCTTTGCTCTGGCTTGTGGATCGCGGCGGGAAATGGCTCTCCGTCATCGGTGGGCTCAGGTTTATGCTCCGTGCCGTGGGGAGATGGTGGGCTGGGCTCAGAGTCCTGAGTGGGGCTGGGGTTGTTGTCCGCGATGTCCACGGTCAGCTGGGACTTGCAGGACACCAGCACCCACTCGATGAAGGCGGCGAGGCTCTCTCGAGGACCATCCCCAGACAACTGTGCTCGTGGCGTGGCGTTTAGTCCGACTTGATAGAAGCCACAGAGGCAGTTGTCCGGGTAGTGCGTGAGGTGGGCCAGGGACAGAAAGTCGTTGGTGTGGTCCTCAAGAGAGCGTTCCTCCTGCTCCAGCTGGAGGATTTGGAATGCGGGGGAATCCATAGAAAAACTAAATAAAAACTGACAAAAATTGGAAAAAACAAACGAGGGGAAAGACGCTGCTATACTTTACTTTTGGGTCGGTTATTCTGTCACGGTCACGGTGTGTGGAGGCAGGCAGGATGACGAGGACAACAAGGATACAAAATAAGGATCTTTAAATGTAGCGACAACAAGGCAGAGACAGACACACATTCACAATAACCGACAAACTAGAACACAAGAGACAGGAACAGATATAGGGCAGTTAACGAGAGACAGACAGGTGAGCACAATGAGATGATTAACTAATAATTAGACGGGCTAAACCAACACAAGGGGAAGAAACCACAACAAACAGTCCACAGGGTTGTTACAGGTTCCTAAGAAACTTTTCTTTTGGAATCTTCATTTTATAGGCCTTGAATAGTTCAGTCCCAGAGATATTGGGATCTCAATGTGACTCCATGTCTAAATGGTTGAGTCCTACCCATTTTCAATGATTGAAAAACAAATGTGAATTTGTGTTTATCTAGTAATAACTGTTCACACTGCAAATATGCAAATAATAACAGTGATATGTACTGTGACACATCAGATTATGAATAACCAGGATTAATTGTTAACTCCAATTAAAGTAAGAGTTGTATGAAATATTTGTTTCTCACACTTGAAATAATGAATACTGGGTAATTCTAAACTTTGAGTAAATGGGATCCTTGATCATTTCAGTGCATTTTTAGCACCCAGACATGTATGTTCTGTTTTGATAGAGGTAAACAAGCTACAAATTTAGTTTGATTATTATTTATTCTTCAGATATTCCTCATTAAATACAATAAGTATCAGCTGTATACAAAGTTGCCAACATTTGTTTTTTGACCACTGAAAATAGGTAATATTCAACATCTGGACATGGAGCCAGATACCATATCTCTGGGATGAACCACATAGTGCCTTGAAAATGAAAAATCCAAAGAAATGTTTATTAAGAACCAGAATCTAAAATAATATTGAGATATCTCTAATATTTCTTGAGTTATAAGTATTCAAACTTTGAAAAAAAAAAAGATTGCACTTGGACAGGTATATTCTATGAAATTGTACTGATCGAGGGAAACAAGAAACATTTCTAGTACATTTCTAAAAGAAAAAAGTATCATATGTATGCAAAGTGACCCACATTTGTTTTTTTGGCCACTAAAAATGTGTGCAACTGAACAACTCCTTACTCCTGGAGCCATACTAAGATCCCAATATCGCTGAAATGGAACCATATAGGACCTTAAAAATTAAGATGCTATAAGGAATGTTTGTTAAGACCCAAAATCTAAAATGGCATTTAAGATTTATCTCATCTTTAATACTTCTTGAGTTACAAGCATGAAAACTTCGGAGAGAAAAAAAACCTTGAAAAGTGCTTTTTCCCAGTTTTGAATGGTCACCATTGGCATATAATGCAACAGATTTTACTCATAGACCTACCAATCTCTGTGTAAAAATAACTGCCATATTTCTAAAGTCATTTTTACCCTCATGTAATTTGGCTCTGAATCTCAGGTGAAAATTGTCTACAAAATAGTGGATAGTAAATGTACATCCATGACATTTAATATTTTGGCTATCATCGCTATACATGTTTATCTTTCTTCAGAAAAAATACTGACAAAATCAAAAGTTTGAGCTGGGGAACTTTGGAATGTTTATGGAATGACCCACCTTTTTTTCTGAGAGTGTACCATCCTTGGTCAGCTGCTCTCTCTTGCTTTGTGTAGATGGTGAGATGTACTAAGATAGTGTGATCAAATACTGTAATGCTAACCAAGATCAGCCAATAAAAAAACATTAGCATAGCTACTTTAAGAATTGAAAAAATTGGACACTGTATTAATGTGTCTATTATTTTTAAAAACAGCAAATATTAATCACAGATATTAAGATGCTATTTTTTTCAACCCTGGTACTGTGAACAAGCACTTACATTATTTTCCAACATGCCCATGCCATCGCTATTGGGAAGAGATGACCTCCTTCTACTTGTAGGCAGCTTTCTGGGTGTCAAGGATCCTATAGGTTTCTTCTTAACCAGTACAACCTCACAGCATGCCTGGTCCTCATTCAGAGCACTCTTACCTGCATTTATCACCCTGAAACACAAGTACCAAAACAGACAGCTTGACACTAAAGCATTTTTCTTTTAATGTTTTAAGGGTAATAAAAAAATTACAATAAAATTACAAAACAGCAATAAATGTAAAACAAACTAATACATTACTTTGTACAAGTTAACAAGCAATATTTTGCAATGGTCATATGGTCATTTTAAAACTGTAAACAGGAAGTATCTGTTAAAGTTAAAAATGTGGTGTAATGAAATGTGTTTATGCATTTTAAGGTTAAAAAAACACTAATTTCCACATACATGTTATTTTCCATACACATGTTAACATTGTGAAAGGAATAAAAATAGAAAAAAAAACTTTTATGTGATGGACATTGGTTATAATTATTTTGTATCTACTCTTACATCTAACTGTATGTACTGTATCTACTTTGAAGGCATCTTGAGTAAAGGAGCTTCATATTTAACAAAGCATATAATAAACGGTTGAACCGAAAGTGCTGAGACCTGTTTAACAGAATGCGGAAATCTGCTGTGCATAACCCCTATTCCATTAGGTACTAGCAGCACTTATTCATTAGATACCAGTTCTTGTTTATTAGATACTAATACTCTTTCAGTAGTGACTAGTAACAGCTAAGGGTAAGTGTCGAAGCCTATGTTTTTTATATTTGTTGAATGTACAAATCCCTTAAAATGCCTCCTCCATGTTAAGGTGGTGATCCAAGGAAGGGGTAACTCACTCTGAGACATGTACAATATGAAAATGTATCTAAACGCCTGCCTACACACTAGTGCCTCCAAAACTCACATTGTTTTTTTTTGTCATTCCACCAGAAGACCGTATGAAAACATAGAGCACCCCTTCCAAGGATGTCGTCCTGATGACCTCACCAGGCTGTAACTTACAGCACTTATTGGGTCAGTCTGTAAGTGAGCATGAAGCCGTGGGGATGAAGGTCAACTCCTCCATATCAGAAGTCATGGTTTCATGGTTCTCTCCGGGCATGTCCTATTGGGAAGAGAACCCGAACAGATCTAGGATGTACTGGATGGATTATGTCTCCCAGCTGGCCTGGAAGCTGATGGTAGTTGCTAGTTAAAAGGATGTCTGGGCAGCTCTATTTATGTTAACTTTCCTAGAAAAAATAAAAAAAAAATTAGATTAACGTGAAAATATTTTGTTTTTTGTAACTTATTTCAAAAAGTGAAACTTTCATATATTCTAGATTCATTACATGTAAAGTGAAACATTTCAAAATATTTTTTTTTGTTTTAATTTTGATGATTTTGTCCATGAAAGTCAATAACCCAGTATCTCAAAATATTAGAATATTTACATTTGAGTTTCATTAAATGACCATCCCTACAGTATAAATTCCGGGTATCTCTTGTCCTTTGAAACCACAATAATGGGAAAACTGCTGACTTGGCAATGGTCCAGAAGATGATCATTGACACCCTCCACAAAGAGGGTAAGTCACAGCAGGTCATTACTGAAAGGGGTGGCTGTTCACAGAGTGCTGTATTAAAGCATATTAAATGCAAAGTTGACTGGAAGGAAGAAAATGGGTAGGAAAAGGTGCACAAACCACAGGGATGACCGCAAGCTTGAGAATACTGTCAAGCAAAGCCAATTCAAACACTTGGGATAGCTTCACAAGGAGTGGACTGAAGCTGGAGTCAGTGCATCAAGAGTCACCACATTCAAACGTCTTCAGGAAAAGGGCTACCAAGCCACTTCTGAAACAGAAACAACGTCAAAAGCATCTTACCTGGGCTAAGGAGAAAAAGAACTGGACTGTTGCTCAGTGGTCCAAAGTCCTCTTTTCAGATAAAAGTACATTTTGCATTTCATTTGGAAATCAAGGTCTGGAGTCTGGAGGAAGTCTGGAGAGGCACAGAATCCAAGCTGCTTGAAGTCCAGTGTGAAGTTTCCGAAATCAGTGATGATTTGGGGTGCTGTGACGTCTGTTGGTGTTGGTCCATTGTGTTTTACCAAGTCCAAAGTCAATGCAGCCGTCTAGCAGGAAGTTTTGGAGCACTTTATGCTTCCATCTGCTGACGAGCTTTATGGAGATGCTGATTTCCTTTTCCAGCAGGACTTTAGCACCTGCCCTCTGTGCCAAAACCATTTCCAAGTGGTTTGCTGACCATGATATTACTGTGCTTGATTGAACCCCATATGGAATCTATGGGATATTTTCTAGAGAAAGATGAGAAGCACTCGATCCAACAACACAGACAAGCTGAAGGCCACTATTAAAGAAACCTGGACTTCAATAGTGCCTCAGCAGTGCCACAGGCTGATCGCTTCCATGCCACACCTCACTGATGCTGTAATTTGTGCTTAAGGAGCTCAGACCAAGTATTGAGTGCATAAATGAACAAATTATAAAGAACTTGAACTTTTCTGTTTTGCAAATACTTTTTTTTTTATTGATCTTAGGATATACTCTAATATTTTGAGATACTGGATTTTTGACTTTCATGAGCTGTAAGCTCTAATCATCAAAATTAAAACAATACAACTTTTGAAATGTTTTACTTTACATGTAATGAATCTAGAATATATGAAAGTTTCACTTTTTGAAATAAGTTACAAAACAAAACGAACTTTTTCACGTTGTTCAAATTTTTTTGAGATGGCACCTGTATTAACAGAATACCTGTGGGTTCCCTTCAAATTCACAAATGTGCAAAGTAACCACTATCATTTGAAAACTTCAAATTGTTTTTTTTTCTTCAATTTAAACTATATATATTTGGTATTTAACTTAAAACCTAACAAAATTATTAAAATTAAACCTTAACCAAATACATTGTGGGCCCACTTAAATCAAAAGAATTTTGTATGATCCATGAATCATGAAATGTGTTGATTATAACATTTTACTTAAAGGGGACCTATTATGTAAAAAACCCTTTTATAAGGTGTTTGAACACATTTGTGTGGCTGCAGCTTGTGAAAACAACCAGCCTATAATGGTAAAAATCTGCCCACTTTTTTATAATCCCAATAAATCATAAACAGTCTCTCAGAACAAGCGATTCCAGATTCTCCCTATGTACATGTCATTGTAGGGAAAAAGTACCGCCCATTAGTGACGCTCTCTGCCCTATTAGCATGAACACAGCCCTGAGTGAGAAGCAGCAGGCCGACATTACTGTTTTCTTGCTGTAGCTGCTTGTCAGTGCCAAAGAGGCATTATCAGTGTTGTGTTTGAGGATGCACAAATAAACATAGGAGTCTCCATAGACTCCCTCCATCTGAGATACTGAGGACACTGTGGTAAAGTTTAATTTTATAAGGAAATGTCCTGGAAAAATTGGTAAAGTCCTATATGATTTTACCAATCATTTCACGCGGACTGCCTCACAAAGGAGGGTCATTTCAATGCTGGATTTTAGAAAAGTTGATTCTGAAAAAGGGATCAATACCAATGCTTCGTTTGTGAATGTCAGCTCCAGACAAAGGAGTCTGTAAGGCTAATGTTGCTAAAGCTAATAATTGTCTAATAATTGCCTGTTTTCACTGATGCTACCAGAATGATTGTAAATAGGAATGTGGTAGTTAAAAATTGTGTGGAGGGGGCTATGTAGCAACCCTCTTAACTAAAGTGTTCTAAGAACAGCAAGGAATGGTTCAGTTATGTTTCCACTTGAGCTCGGTTCAGCACAGCACAATTAATTTCAATTAATTTGAGTATATTTAGGTTTATAACAGGTCTGGTTCTCACATTATTGATGAACTGTAATTGTAGTTTGCGATGTGAGTGCAGGACAGCAGAGGAGTGTGGGGGAGGGGGGTTCAATTGCGCTCGAGCTTGGTACAAGGCAACCGTGCCAAGTGTGAGTATGCACATTAAGCCTCTTTTTCACCAATGGGCCAAACCATCGTCGTGGTTTCATTTTCCACTGTGGGGATGATTTCAAAACATTTCAAATTCATCAATCAGTAAATTGTCCACATTTTCAGTGGTCACAAACTACAAAGTGGGTCACTAACATACAGCTGATTTTTTTTAAAGAGGAATGTGTGAAGAACAAATGTTGAAACTAGAAATGCATCTTGTTTCCCTCTATCAAAACAGTGGGAGGAAAAAAAAATGTGTCCGATTTTTTGCATTCTCTTGCAAAACTTTTGCATTCCCTCAAGAAACTTTGCGTTCCCTCGCAAAACGTTTGCGTTCTCTCGCAAATATATTTGCGTTCCCTCGCAAAACTTTTGCGTTCTCTCGCAAAACCAGTTGAGTTCGGACAAACACTTCCTGTTTACTTTACAGATTGTAGTGGTTCATACAGCTCCATATGTTCACAGTTCATAGAGATTTGTTTTGAACTTGGACGAAATAGTCAGTGCATGCTTATCAAGGCACGGTTTTGGGACATTCTAAAATGCTTAACATAAACCACTGGATGACTAAATTCAGTACATACCTTATTAATAAAGCATACAGACAAGCAGAATAGCCCAGAATATGAATGTAACCCGGTAAATTGAATTGCACTTTAAGAGTATTCCTCATAGAAAGAAAATGCTTAATTAATGGACTAAGATAGTGGTATAAAAAGGCCAAATACGGTATACAGTTTATTAATAAATTCTACATGAAAGCAGGTAAGAACAGAAGCGTTTTCCTCCCATAAAGAAAATGCGGCTTAATGAAGACGGTGATAAAAAAAAGACCAAATATGCTATAGAACTTATTAAAAATATATTCTGTGTACATGCAAGCATGGCCGGAACAGGACGAGCAGAGAGTTCATTGACGGCCTCCATGGCCGGAACAGGATGAGCAGAGAGTTCATAGACGGCCTCCTTGGCCGGAACAGGACGAGCAGAGAGTTTATAGATGGCCTCCTTGGCCGGAACAGAACAGACAGAGAGTTCATCGGCGGGCCTCCTTGGCCGGAACAGAACAGGCAGAGAATTCATTGATGGCCTCCTTGGCCGGAACAGGATGAGCAGAGATTTCATAGACGGCCTCCTTGGCCGGAACAGAACAGACAGAGAGTTCATCG